AACCCTTTCAGGACCCCTCTCACTCTTGAGAGCTTTTTCTGTATTTTCACTTAATAAACTTCTGTCGCTTTACTCACTCTCAAAAAAAAAAAAAAAAGAAAAGAAAACTAAAAGTCAGAAGGATTCAGAAGTTACAAACAAACAAAAAATAGATTACATTCAGCTAAATCGATTTCAAAATTTTTCCCTGAAAGGGAACCTTGCATTTAAGAAAGGAAACCTTACCATTATAATTACTACAGAACCTGCCATGGTTTTATTAGTGAAAAAGTAAACCCAAGCATTAATTTGCTAATACCCAAAATAGGTATTCATAATTACATATTATGGGTCTGTGTGCTACTCATAGTGTGGTCACCAGACAAGTGTGGGTCCACAAACTCTTTTCGATTTGTGATAAGTAAAGAAATTGAGAAGAGGACTTAGAAACCTTTAAAACAATTGGTCATTGCTGCAATATCTAAGTTTGTAATCAATACACATTTTCACAAGAGCATCAGCCAGGACAGACTGGAAATTAAAAACTCCAACAAAACCCTGGTCTGTCACTAAAGACAGTTTAAGAAGTGTTGCTATCGATGAATGTAAATGCTGTCACTACATGAATAAAATATAGAAATTCCTCAAACCATGAGAAACTTCATCAATTGTAATATCTGTGCTCATCATTTATCTTTCAGCTACAAGCAAATCTATTTTCCAAATTTATACAAACTGGCCTGAAAAAGCAACAACACTCACAGATGTATTTGGAAGCAATTTTTATACAAAAGTTTGGGAAAACTTTTAAAGTGTAAAAGCGTAACTCTTTCATTGCAAAAAAAAGAGACACCCAGCAACATCTCCAGCAGATACCCACGTCAAACTGATACAAAAGACGAAAAACATGATGGGCAAAGGGGACACAAATGCCAAAACAGCTCCATGTCCCCTCATCCTAAAAGTGTGCTTGCATAGCAGAATTGGTTTTTAAGAGGTTCAAATGTGAAATAAAAGTTCAAAAAGAACATAGAGATAATCAGGGAAACTAGAAATACTGAAAATGGAAATGCTTTTGTACATTGATAAATCCCGAAGGAGGCGTGGGACTTTCCTAAACAGAGATGAAGTAGTATGACTTTGGTATTCTGAAATACTGGCTATTTTAATGTTTATTCAGCTGCAATATACATTCTGAAATTTTCAGAAGCTACATATTTAACTTTTTGTTACTCTACCCCTGACCATGAATACGTAAGGAACATAAGTTCTAGAAGTAGTGTAAGTAGTACAGGAAGACGCTCTTCAGATTAAAACTGTACCTCCATTGCATAGTTCTGGAAGATATTTGTATTACTTGTGTTGCAGGAAGGTGCCACTTCTGATTTCCCAGGTAAGGCAAACTTTGACAGGGATCCTGTTCATTATTAAAAAACAAAGAGCAAAACCATTACAATGAATGAGAAAGGATATGAAAATCTTTTACCTCCATAAATTCTGATAAAATGTCCAACTGTTTTATTCAAAATAGCAAAGGTAATTTAAGAAAAAACCAAAAAAGGCACACATTTTTGTTTTGAGTACAAACTTAAGGAAGTGTGCTCTGATTCTACAGCTTCCCACATGCTAGGGGTGGGAAGCCCTAGCTTCATTACTCACTTACGAAGTTACTTTGTGGGTACGGGCTCATCACTCACTTATGACGTACTTTGTGGGTACAGGCTACAAGGCATTCCAGTTATTTTAATTACTAATTTGTTGTTTCTCTTTTTCCATGTTTAAAATACAAGAATGTGTGGGCGCCTGGGTGGCTCAGTTGGTTAAGCGACTGCCTTCGGCTCAGGTCATGATCCTGGAGTCCCGGGATGAGTCCCGCATCGGGCTCCCTGCTCGGCAGGGAGTCTGCTTCGTCCTCTGACCCTATCCCCTCTCATGTGTTCTCTCTCTCTCATTCCCTCTCTCTCAAATAAATAAATAAAATCTTTAAAAAAAAAATACAAGAATGTGTTTAGTTCTAAGGTCTAAAACATATAAAATAGCGAATTTTATTTCCAATTATAAAAAGATTTACTGGCAATTCTCTGTCTTCTCAGGATCTTTTAAGATCTGGTACAGTAATCTTGTTCTTAAACATGAGGAGGGAATTTCCAAATATATTCTTAAGAGTTATGGATATTAGTAGGTATTAAAACAACAACAAAAACAACAAAAAGTAAGGGGAGTTCTGTGGTCACATCAATTGTTGACAGTGGCTATATCTTGTTAATAAAACTAGAGGTAATTTACCTTTTCTTTTTCTTTTTTCTCAGTAGTTACTAAATGTTACGCATAAACACATATTTTTATAAAGTAAGGGTAAAAAAATAAGTAATGGGATAAACTTCCAGTTCACAAGAAATAGAGAAGACAGGAAAAAACATGTTAAACACCAAAAGGCAGAAGAAAAGTTATTAAATTTCCTTATTACTTGCAACCCATTGACAAGGCCTTGCGGTGGGCAGAGTGACATTCCTTTAGGGACCCAACTGCTTGGATGGTGACACTTTGCTAAGGGCAAAAGGTAATCCTAACCTGACCCCCCCCGCCCCCCCCACCATTCCTGTAAGTCTACTTTAACATATAAAAATTCCTTTGGAAACTTCCTTTATCTCTACCTGCCCCCCACCCCATACACGTTGGCAATTATCCCCCAAGTATACATCTGAAGGGTCTCACTGAGTAAGGGACAGGCGGGGTTAGGTAGGGAGAGATAGGTAGGGGGCTCACAGAAATCCCAGAAATGCTGAGGCATAACAAAACCAGAGCTAAGGGAACAAACCAGACCACCCTGCCCTGGGCGTCAGAGGTGGGGTCTTTAACGGCAGTCACATTGTGACCAACAAAGAATAAGGAGACCCTAAAGAAGAAGTAAGCCATTAAAGATGTTATCACCAGCCCTTACTCAAACCAAGATGTCACAAGAATGTTAAGGCCACAAGCTCCCTGGTCAGTTCTATAAAAGACTGTCAGTGGAGGCCCATGTTGGCAACCCTGGCGGGACCCCTCTCACTCCTGAGAGCTTTTGTTGTATCCTTGCTTAATAAAACTTTTTATCACTTTACTCACTCTCCTTTGTCCACAAGATTCATTCTTCAACTCCGTGAGAGAAGAACCTCTCTCTCTTCACAATCATAGGGATGCAATCAGCATAATCCAGACTAATGGCCTGATTGCTTCAGTAAATAAATGACAATGGTAAAAAAAGACAGCTCTAGAACTACCACCACAGGTCCTAGGCCCGTTTCACAGATGGGTTGAGAGGGACAGAGAGGGCTGAAGCCAACATCAACCTGTAAGCTGCTTACAGCTGGTGGTAATTGCAGTACTTTCCCTGGACGGTTCCCCACAACCCTGTGTAATCCATCTCTGCTAAAGCTAGTTCAGAACTGCTTTCTTGTACCTTCTATCAGGCTTGATTAATGAAATCATTTATGTGGGCAGCCTCCCTTTTACATCGAATTAATCTAGAGCACAGAATATTCACTTTAATAAATATGAATCAGGTTGTGAGGTTTATCTCTTAGCATAACAAATTGCTCTTGTATGTTAAAAAAAAGGGGGGGGCGAGCTAATCACCCGATTTCTTCATGAATGGATGACAAGGGGGAGAAAAAGACAGGGAACAAAGAGGAAGTTAACAGACATATCAGCCAAATGCAACAAGGGGACCTTATCTGGATCCAACTTGAACAAACCACCTATAAAAGGAGCTTTATGAGATAACTGTGAAAATTTAAACTAAATAAATATTTGATATAAAGTATTATATCGATCAAAACATTAAAAAATGTAATAGCATTACAATTATGTTTTCAAAAAATGAATGCTTCACAAAAGATACATAGTGTACGTGTACCAAACAGACCATGCTAACACAGTGTTAGAATTCTGAGAATGTTTATCTGTGAAGTGGGCAGTGACCACATGTGTGCATGAGAGAGGTTCTGGATATTGTTAACGTTCTGTGTTTTGATCTAAGTGCTGGTTACTCATGTGTCCTCAAATTCTGAAATGTATTTACATACATAAAAGTGTACACATTACATGCATAACATTAATAAAATTAAAAATGTTTATCAAATACATAATTAAAAAAATGTTTAAAAATTTTTTTTGAAAAGAAAAACCACTGGCCTAAAATGGCATCACTTAGGCTGAGTTCCCAACAGGGGCTTAACACCTAATCTAATTGCAGTTTCAACTTCCTCAGAGTGTAGTCTTAACCAATCAGTCAGGAATTTTCTGACCAATGCCTGGGAGTTTGCAACATGGGCCCTCTCCATCTCGCAAAGGAAGATGAAGTAATCTGCATGATACACCCCCTGCACTTCCCCGTAAGGGAAAGTGACTTTGCCTGGATTATCTTTCTCTTTTGCTAATAACTTTCTTGCCTCACCCTTCTTCTATAAAAACCTTCCATTTTGTACAGTTCTTGGAGCTCCCCTCTACTTGCTAGATGGGATGCTGCCTGATTCATGAATTGTTTAGTAAAGCCAGTTAGATCTTCAGATTTACTTGGTTGAATTCCATTTTTTTAACAATATAAAACATTAAAGTCCTTATATTTTAGAGCTACATATGGAAGTATTGATGAATAAAATTATATGCTGTCTGGTATTGACTTTAAAATAATCCAGTGGGCAAGGAAAAAATAGTGGGACTACAGGAGGGGGAAAGATAAAACAAGATTGGCCATTTTTTGATAACTATTGCAATTGGGTAAAGGGTAAATGGGTGTCCATTGGGCTATTCTTTCTACTTCTGTGTACATTTGAAAGTCCCTACAATAAAAGCTTTTTAAAAGATCAGAGGTGCACATCAAAAAGTATTATAATGCCCTTGCTTCCCTTGCCTTACTTATCAAACTCAACACCCAAAGAACAAATAATCCAATCAAGAAATGGGCAGAAGACATGAACAGACATTTTTCCAAAGAAGACATCCAAATGGCCAACAGACA